AGGTTTGATTTTAAAGTAGTATGATTGCACATGTATGTTGTCTTCTCTTACAACATGATATTGTCTATGTAACTATACACATGTGATTATATGTTATGGAAATGAAAATAAAATATTCTTCTTAAAAAAAATAAGCAAGTTCTGTAACGGTATCACAAACCTTATTATAAGGCATCTATTTGTTTCACTTAGGGTCAAGTTATGTTCAGAAATGGAGAGAGGATGGGGACCATCAAATTCACCCAGTTTCAAGGTAGGTGATGGATATTTATTTATGCCTTGCACTATATTATTGCACTCTATTATTATGGCTGTGGATTTCAATTTGAAGATATAGTATAACTTTGCTTTGCTTTATACTTTATGATGACATGAAAGTAAAAGGATATATGGCAATAAAATTTAGTGGATTACATAGCAATAAAAGAATATCTTTTTAAAAAAATAAATAGGATCATTTATGTTAGAGACTGAATAAAAAATTAATGTTAAAGAATAGAAATATGGTAGGCTAATTTTTTTTATTCCTTCTGAAAAGTGAAATAAAATTTACAATTTAGAATAGTTGCTCTAGTAGAATTTCTTTCTTTCCTCTTATGCAGCCTCCTCCCTCTTCCTCTTCTTTTGCCTTTCATTTAAAACAATGGCATGTTTTGATAGCCAAATATTGATGAAAATTGTAATAGTACAATAGCCTGGATTCATTTTAGCAAGAGTATATATTCAAGAGAAGATACATAATTTAAACCTGACCCTTTCCAGATGTGTTGGAATTGGAGCGTCAAGATTTCCCAATGTATTTGGATGGCATTAGTTTGGCAAAAGTTGCCTTAAATTATCCCAATTGTGGGAGGTTTATTATAATCATATATAAGAATCATGCTTTTAATATGTTATATTCCTGTGTCATATTTAGAAAATGTACTGTACAGATATATAGACCTGCAGAGTTAAAAAATGATTAACAAATAATTAGCATTATCAGAAAACTAAAATGTAGGCATGGAAAGGATTAAAGGGTCAGTTATCTGTATTACAACTGAAAAATTAATTAATTTAATTATATTTGAATATTTCCATCAATGAACTATTTATGTCCTTTCTGAGCTTTAAGAATTATTGAATTTACTTAGAATTGTTAAGCAAAAGTGCATTGAATGATTTTTTAAAAACTCATCGATAACTTTATGTATTCAATTTCTATAGTCATTAATCTCATCAAACAATTCTGAATGGCTCACAATTGAAAAACATATATTACAATTAAAATCTTTAAAAACATTTTTAAAATAATAAAAACATTAAAATTTCTTGTTCAAGTACATACAAAGCAAGACATTTGGCCAGTGAACAATATAGCCAGGTAGCAGAACATTGGCGCATGTAGCACCCCAGGTTCGGCAGTATAGCTAAGTTTTTAAAGCTTTATGGAAGGCTAACAGGGTTGAGGCCATTCTAATCTCTGAAGGGAAGATGTTCCACACAGCAGGGGCTGCTGCAGAAAGAACTCATCTTCTAGGGTTCACTGAAAAAGGGCGACCGACAAAACCGCGCCCGACTAAAACGCGGTGACAAAACCGCAAGTTCTAAACCACGCCAATGAATGAGCGCTGAATCGCGCCAACAACAGCGCGGTGACAGAAGCGCGCTATGAACCTAAACCTAACCCTAGCCCTAACCCTAACGCTAACCCTAACCCTAAACGTAACCCTAACCCTAAACCTAATGCTAACCCTAAGGCTAACCCTAACCCTAACCCTAACCCTAAACGTAACCCTAACCCTAAACCTAATGCTAACCCTAAGGCTAACCCTAACCCTAACCCTAACCCTAAACGTAACCCTAACCCTAAACCTAATGCTAACCCTAAGGCTAACCCTAACCCTAACC